AAATGAAGAGAATTTGATGAAGTCGGGAGCGAATTGGATACTAACTTTTCGCTAATGAAAGATAGAAAATAGCTAAATAGATAGTAGGATATAAGATAGTAAAAGTAAATGTGGAAGTTCTTAAGTTCACTGATGGAGGAGAGTGGGAGAGCGTTGCAGAGCGAGCGCACTACTAGAAACCAGTTCTGTTAGCTGATCTTTGATGCTAGTTGGGATATTTTCATGTGATAAGATAAGTATCAACAGACATGAATTTCGCTATCCTTTAGACAGCAAACCAGTCTTTCGATGCGGGCTACGGACTTTAAAAGTGCAGAATCAAAGACATTCTAGCATGATTATGTAATTATGTGTTGATGATTCTTGTTTAGACTGATCTTGTTGTTTCAGAACTTGCTGAATAATTCTCATGAGATCTCTACTAGCCTTGATATTTCTCACTGTTGTACTATCCACAACTGCCCAGTTGGGTTACGGACCCATCTACCGTCCATCATATGGTCCATACGGTCGGCCTCTAGGCCCTCACCTTGGTTATGAACCCTATAGATTTCCTTATCGTCCCTATAGTCGGCGCAGAAATGCAATACGAGGAGCTGTGACTGGAGCTTTAATTGGTGCTGCTCTTGGTGGATGATCCCTTATATATTTGATATTTGAATTTTTGTACACAAGATTATGAACTACTGCTTAATAAAATTCCCGGATTTTTGTACAAGCGAATTCTCAAATGCTTACTTTTGCGAGTCAGAGCTTTTTATTTGCGAAATTTTGGGGTAGACCGTCTGAGCTGGACCTAAAAAGCTCAAAATTTTCAGAATTTCATATGCGCCCCAACTGCTAAAAAAGTCTTTAGAAATATCCAAAAGAAGTAGATATATTTGTTAAGTTACTAGAAATTGTAAATCTTTTTATACTATCTAAACAGTTGACTAATTAGATTGAAATCTATTCTCGGAGCTAAAAGGTGTTGATGAGATGAGAACAGTAGTAAATTATTCACTAGTTCTTCTTGTGCATATACAATCTAAGTGTTAGGAGGGAAACGAAAATTAATGGCTAATCTGCATAACTTTTATAATACTTCTAAACTGAAATGAAAGTTCGTGCTATTTGTGATGTGATCGTTGCATTAATGCAAGGACTTATTTTTGGATGAAATGTATCATCTTAGAAAACATGTTATACTTTTATCTTTTCAATTTTACATTGCTACAAAGGGGACAAAAGTTCACAAATGAAAGACATATCAAGCAATTTTTCTGTTATTCAAACTTGAAAAGAGGACAGGATAAAGAACTTCAACATGGATTTAGGTTTGCACCCTTCTCATTCATGCACTATAGTGGGCAATTTGAAAAATTTATAGCGCGAAAACTTTGATGAGAATGTATTTTAATTACTCCAATTTGCAAATGCTTAGGGAAGTGGCACAGGTTTGAGCGGTGGACAAGCTGAGATAAGGTAATGAAAAAGGCTAAATCTCCTTTTACATGGTGGTTTGCAGGACTGCAAAAAACCTTTCTACCTAACTCTTTGGATTAAACGAAATGAGCTGCGAAATCTGCCTCTCTCATCGCACTGACAGGATTCCTCGCTAATCGATTGACATGACTTCGGAAAATCATGACAATTTTCTGTACAAAACCCACTTCTGAAACAATGCTCATTGAGGCAGATTTCAACAACCTTTTAGCTTCTGAAACTCCTTGAATAGGGCTACGGTAAACGCGATCTTATGATTAGGGATATGCAAGTTATTATATTCCAAGCCTTAACGATATTTTATGAAATACGTGTGTTTAAAGATAAAAGAAAATTTGCAGTGCAGAAAGATAGTTGTGGTAATTACGATATGAAAATATTTCAGTCAAAAAATAGAAGACGTAAAACGTGATTAGCATGGGAAATGCTACTAACCGTGTTATTTAGACGGTTTGAGGCGGACTTGTATTTCCTACATCCTCCCTCCTCAAACTTGATTGATGATACGTGGTATCAAATTATCATATCTTACTAGTCATTTAAAAAAGTCACTATTAAAGATAAGGAAGAAGTTAATGGATGATTAAAAATTTTCAAAAAGTGACGACGAATAGAGCATGTACAGCGTGTGAAGAGGGTGACGGATGTAAAGTAGCCATCTAATTTTATTTCTTTATATGGCATAATTAAGCTTTTATTTAAACAGATCAATGACGTGGTGCAGCATTTCATAAATGACATGGTATAGTAACCAGTGGGAATCCATGTAGGAGTATTCTTTCATTGAAGCATGGCGAAGTGCAGACAAGCCAAATCAGAGTTATAAAGCAAAAATAGAACGGGCTTTGACTGAGCCTGAAAAAGAATGTTTTTTCAGCAGGATGATAGAAAAACGAAAGATTGTCGAGTAGAGGGATAGGACTCTCCTAATTTTGATAATGAAAATGAAAACATTTTATATAGGAGAAAGTCACTCGAAGTTTCTTATTGTGTTTCAAGACACGCCTTAAATAGTGCTGCTAGAGTTTGTCTTAGGGCTTCATCAAATTTTTGATGGGCCACTTTAGTTTTCAAGTTGCCCTTCAATGAATATAAGATCAAATATGGACCTCTTAGAAACAACGGCTTTTGCCTGCTCACAGGGACCAGTCTACAGTAGGAACAAAATAGTTAACCACCCTATGAAGAATATAGAAGTAATAAACTGCCGAATGTCAAGAATTAAAAATGGCTTGACTAAAACATAAAATCACTAGTTCCAACGTTTTAGTTTGATATGATTTTTGAAGAAATGTTTCAGAGATTCACAAAGAATTAAACAATTTGAATATTATTGTGGTGAGTACTATTATTGTAAAACGAGCTTTTCTTTAGAGTTGAATAGGGAAAATTTGATTCTTTCTTTACTCTAGAGTCATTTCCACATTTTTTTCTGTTATCTGCACCTGTTTCAGTAGCTGCAAGCAGTAATTCTTTCAAAGCAATGCAGATAATCGATTGAATGAAAAGTGATTTACATCCCGAAGATAATTGAACAGTCATTGATCTTAAGTTCTTCTTACTAGGCTCTGTTAGGAATATACGGTTGCAAGATAATAAAAGGCTTAGCTATTCTTCTTCAAAGGTTATAGCTCAGATAAATCTATGAGTTCTTAGCTTTCCTAGATTATGTGGTCATCAACCTTTAGCCTCACTAGCTCACCAATTCTTGCTATGAAATGATCAGAGCGATTGAGACATATGTTCGATTCTTTTCCCCTGCCATAGTTTCCTATACCTGCAGCTACTTATTTTGCTGGGCGTCGTCATTCTGGCATCCCTCGCTAGCAGTTTGAATACGGGAAAAGGAGACATTTGTCTCGAAACATGCTGGATTCATGCCATCGCCATCAGCCCTCGTCATTTCAAAGTTTCCAAAAAATTTTTAAAACAGTTTCACAATTTGGAACTGATAAGTCATGCTCAGCACATTAAAATCATCTAGAATAGGTTCTTAAAAAACCTAGAAACGAAAATTTACTTCGAAACATCTTCAGGCACCTTTGCCTTGCCTATGCCTATGTGTTGATGGACGGAGACGATTCATTAATGTGAAGTCGGCACAAGCTCAGATGCGATATGAACGAATTTTATTGCAAAACAATTTCTCAGAAGTCGCATAATATTGTGAAAAACTAATCTGTATTTATGTAACATATCAGCGCCCAAAATTATCTCCTTAAAAGATTTTGGCGATATTTGAAGTAATTTTTCTGAATCATTTTAAAGAGCCAGCAAGAGCCTACCAAATAAGATTCAGAGTGAGGAAACCTAAAGTCAGAATCCCTTGTGTGATGTGCGGCACTTCAATGGACGACATACGAGAATGGCCATTTTCATATATTTAGACATATTCGTACCTCGTGACTCTATACTTTTGCTTCCAGTTAAGAATATTATTATTTAAAGTTAGCTATACTCGTCATATCAACAGTGTATGTACGAAAAGAAGATTCTTGCAAAAGAAGAATCTACAACAAGTGTAAAGTTTCTGCGTAAAAAAATAGGGTGCAGTTGGCAGCCACCATAAACCTCTGAACCCATTTAAATCCATCAAAAGCGAGTCCACGAGGGTTGGGAAGAAAATATCAAGAATTCTCTAGCCATCTGACAATGTAATTGATCTGAATAAATTTCGATAATTTTGTACTGTTAAATCGCAATTTTTCATAGTATTTTCTGAATGCAGTGCATAATGAAATGTTTGAGAGGGAAATAATAGAATTCCAGCATGTAAATTTATGTACAAAAGTTTCCGTTTCATTATAGCCTCATAAGAGCAGAAGGCAGAAGAACTTTCATTCATTCCATTTTGATGTAATAAAAGTTGTAAAGAAGGTTAGAAGTGTTACATTTGCAGCTTGGATTTTGCTTTATGGATTTTTGAATAGGAAAGATGCCATCTTAGGAATACCTGAACAATTTCCAGGATTGTTTCCCTGCTTTACATGTTAAGGTATTTAGTTGCCCACACAATAAGTGTACCTATGCTATATCTTTGTGTTCAGGCATCAAGAAGTGAAGTAAATCTGCTTTTGTTTCAAAATATCAAACATCTGCAGTAGAATAGTTTAGAAACTATAAAATATTTTTTTTTGATAACAAATCAATAGCGTATGTGATAAGTGGGGATATCTCATTTGCTGGAATAGATTTAAGGTGAGGAAAAAATTGGAAAAAGATACTTGGCGAAGTCTGAACGGGCTAATTCATGCTGAAGCATTAGACGCCGTTAATGAAATATGCACATGTGCTCAAGTAAGAGAAGAAGAAGTAGACACTTTTTACAGTAGACGAAAACATTTGACTGCTTTACTATCTTTGGACACCGCCATATAACTTGGAAAGCAAATCAAAAGCTTGTGTTCCTTACATGCTTCATTGTATCCAGTATAGTTGAAACATCGGAAAATTTTTCCGAATGGACGAATATCGAATATTATTTCGCTATGAAAATATTCGAATGAATGAATATTATTCGAATCACCATTTAAGATATATTCGATCTATATACTCGAATAAGATAGATCTTTTATATTCGACTATTCGAATTATCGAATATATGGGCGTGACCGAATATTCGAACATTCGAATAACAGAAGTAGTGCGTATTTCCGAATATTCGACTATTTGAATGGCAAAAATCGAATTATTCGAATATTTCAGTCAAACATCGTTACGCAATCTCAATCATATTCGATGATTTGCAGATATTTTATAACAAATATTCAATGATTTCGCAGACATTCGAATAATCGAATATTATTCGAATCTCAGTTCCAAAATCATTTGATACGAATATTCGAGTGTCGATGTTACAAAATATTCGACTGTTCGAATAATCGACCAAATGCGTTCCTCGAATATTCGACTATGTGAAAAATCGAACAAATGCGCTTCCGTATTCGAATTTCGAATATTCGAATTATTCGAAATGTTCGAATATTTTATTCGAACACGAATATTCGGTCCCAATTATAGTATCCAGCACTACTAAGATGTGCAAAACTATGCTTTAATGCAGAAATGCAAGGAGTGAAGGGACAAGTGCATTTCCGAAACGAAGAAAAACAAGTTTTTTAAAGCTGGACCAATGACGATTGGATAATGCTA